ACAATCTGTCACGCTGATTATATATATATATATTCGACCGAAGGAGAAAAATAGGAGTAACAAACCTCCGCCGGTTCGAAGGCATTCTATTCTCGCTTCTGCTTTTAGTTTTGCTGTCTAATGAACAAGTAAACAGGTAAAGAAAAGAATTGACGCGAGTCACGTTTCGCCGCATCGCATATCTTACCTCTGCACGTCGTATCATATGTTTCAATTCGTCGATTTTCGTATCTAAATCTGGACCTTGTGGATCGTTTGGATCAGTCTACAATCATTGTTAAATACAATTATTTAAAAAAAATCGATTCCGAACGTACGACGAAATAAAAATAATTTAGCTAGGTTTTTTTATGCCCTTTTGGACAGGATTTTTTTTTTTTTGTTAACCTTTTGTCCAGACTCTTTTAGTTGCAGAAGAACTTGTACTTTTCTACTATTCTCCCGAATGCTGCTTATTTCGCGAGCTATTCTCGTCGACCAGCGACGAGCTTCCTTTCCGAGCGTAGCTGCAGCAGAATGATCAGCTGTTATCCTGTAACAAATACGTTTACTAAAGTATCGCGAAAATTATCATTTCAAAATGTATATATCTCATCTGATAAATATCGTTTATAAACCTTTCTACCGGATCGCTGTCACAAGGTTCGAAATCGTATTGTATATGTTGCTTCAAGACAGGGTAATACAAACAGCAACACTGTATATTGTACTCTCTGGTGAGCTGCAGAAAAGACAGGAAATGAACAGGATAAACAGAGGCGTTTATTTTTATACGTACGTTGTATTCTTTACTTACTTGTTGCGCTTGGTCACGAATTTTGCCGAAACTATTTTGCGTAGCTAAGCAGGTCAAGAGTTCTGTGCGACCCATTAGCGTCAAATATTCTGCAACTTTATCGTAAACACCTTGTTCTAAATACTGTTAAGAAGAAAAGAGAAAGAAAATAGGAAATGTTCACTTCTTCTAAATAGAAAGAGAAATTAACGTAGTGATATACATACAAGTGACTTACTTGCATAGTGTTTTGTAAGTCGACTACAAAATACCTATTCTGATGTGCATTGGCAGCGGCGAGACTAAGCAAATAATCATTTCGAGCTCCTGTTGACTTCTCTTCCAAAGCGTCGCGTTTCGAGCTTACCTGAAAAAACAGTAATTTCTTTTTTCATGCAAAAGTAAATCTCTACCGTCAGAGGTTACTTGAAATATTCCTGCACCTTTGCACTATTTTTCTGCAATGACGTTATCGACTGAAAGAAGGATCCCTTTTTCTTCTTTAATCTGTAATTCAGATCAGACAGTTAATTAATCACAAAATGTCAGCCATTTGTTAATCCGTATGTATGTGAATACGTACTTTTCTTCGATATCCTTCGCTTTGTCGCGTACATCGTGTGCACTGTGCTCTTCGTCGAAGTACAATTTCTTTGTTTTGTCTACATCTTGCACGCACATTTGCAGCTCTTTTTGTACTATCATTAATTGGTCGATTGCCTTCTTAGAGATTTGTAGTTTGTGCATCTTTAAGCTTTTTGCATCGTCGGCGATTTGCTGCTGAAAAACTTCTACCGCGGCTAGCCGCGCTCTGGCCAATTTTTCGTTTTCTTCCAAGACAGTCCGCCAAACGTTCCACATGTTCCTGAAATTAACAATTATTCGAATTTAATTCGGACGCCTCGAGTCTTAAAAATAAAATAACATTGTATATTTCAATAATTTGTTAATACCATTTTTCCTCTGCACCATCGACTTTCAAGTCCGGAATGTTTGGTATCTTTTTATTCAAATACGCGGAGGATATTTTAAGCAGTGCCTAGAATGAACATTCGGTCGGTAATAATGCAAACTTGATGATGTAAATATCACAGATATAATCTCTTACCTCCGAATATGACTTTTCAATCGCAGATTTTTTTATCGTAAAGTTGCTGGAAAATATATTTGAAACGTTTATGTTTTAAAAATATATATATAAATAATTCTCGACGTGTCAAACAATTATTTTACACGTTATTCTGCACAGATAGTATTTTCAAGTAAAACAAGTATATACGTGAACTTTGTATTGAATGTAATAAGCTTACACATGCTGTAGGACATTTTTCAGTACAAGTATGTACGTAGCAAATGTCAACTCATTTGTGAAATAATGCAAAGTTCGTCGAAGGTAGAAGTTTGTCACGTCGAAGAATTTCGACGGATCGGTAATGTAAAATAATTTAAGTTTTAGGTTATCTAAACAGCTTTTATCTAATCCTCTTTTTACATAAGTTTAAGACTTACCGTATATCTTCCAGAAGGTCGCACTCATGCTGGTTTTTCGCTTGTAACTTTGCCGCCTGCTCTGCGTGTACATTCTTAAGAAACTTTGTGAAATTTCCCTGTAAATGTTTTTATCACTGTCGTTAGTTTTTATTAACGTTACGCACATGTATCTCTGGAGTGATGTTTCGATTTTGTGACAAACGGAGGCGTATCCTTTGGCTCGTCGCCAAAATATCCGTACAGTAGAGTTAACTTGGCAACGATAACGTTAACGAATACTATAGTAGTAGAACACTACACTATACTAGTAATGAATACTATACTTCCACTAATCTAGTCTATATTCTATATCTAGAATAGCGAATAAACACTTGAAGAGAAATATACAATTCGATCGTCCGTATGTTTTTGAACATGAAAATAAGTATTGACACAACTACTCGTACATAAAGTTCTATTGGACGTAAATTGCCACTCGAGTGTTTAAGTATTCAATAAAGATATCTCAAATTTTGGTTTACCACTTTATAATCTTGTCGAGCACAAAGAGAGAAAAAAAGAAGAAAAGGAAAGGGAAGAAAAAGGTAAGATAAAAAGTTTTATCCCTCTTTTCTTTTCCCTTATACATTGCCGAGGTATTAATTGACGTATAGGAAAGTGTGCGAGGGTAATGCTTTAATCAGCGATAACATTGTTGGGGAATCAAGTTCAATTTTGTAGCGCAAGGTGGTGCATCGATATTCCCTTTATGCATTAGGACTCACATTGACCTCGTGAACTCTAATGAACAGTCGTTCAATATGCAGGGGGACGATACGTTGTGTCTAGTTATTGAAATTTCACTTACTATTCCCTTATCGATTTCCAATATTTTTAAGGATTTTTACGTGCATCGCGCAGATGTGCTCATGGCCTAAAGGCACATATATATATATAATTACACGTATGTCGTGTGTGTATGCGCTAGTAATATCATGCATTATTCAATGGATCGTTAAGTGGGGAAAGCTGTTTTATCATTTTCGAGAACAATGCAAATTTTCAAGTTTCGACAAACACGCTAATGGACTAATGTCAAATAACGACAAAAAAAAAAAAGCTTCGTTTGTAGCCCAGTATAAACTATGAGATTTTCAATAAATCTGTTACTTCACCACCTCTCGTGGTACGAGTAATTACCGGCTTTTCCAAGAACAGTTTTTTATCTACAGAGTTTTTTTATCTACGGCCCGTAAAGAGACGTAGGTAAAGGTCAGACTTTTAACTCGTGCTAGGCGTACTCGACAAAGTATAGATGATAATCTAGCGGAAAGGAAAATAGAATCTAAACAATAGTGGACGAAAAGGGCAGGTCGAAAAGGAACTCGCGATCGTGACTCGTAAGTCATTGTTTTTGAAGAACACCTTATCGATCGAAGTGGCTCGATGAACATTATTTGAAACGAAGAAGAGATATCTCTGTGGAATTACGCTGCTTCCAGCCTTGTAAATAATTAGCGTCGTTGAAATTTTCAAACGGAAGGCTTGCGTCTTCGAGCCCGTTCTTGCGAGAGGGAAATTTTCTTGAGTGTAAGGAAGTGGGTAAACATGAAATTGTCCGGAAGAGGCGACGGGAAATTTCCAGTCACTGACGAGCAAACAGAGGAGCGTACCAAGCCGAGAGCTGGGTCAAATTCCGCCGAAAGGAAATATGTTTTCGAAACGCTCTCTCGCGTTGTAAAATACGCGGACTTCACCCTGGACTCTTATCACTCGACTGACATCCGGTAGATGGAAGTGGGTCAGGAATCTCCCGATCTTTAACTGCGAGACTTCATTGTCGTTGAAGCGAGGTTCGCTATCTTGATAAATGGGCCGGGGAATCCTGTTGTCGTATTATTTGAGACAAAGTTGATCGAAATTTTTCGACGAATTTTCTGAAACTACCTTCGCTCAGTTGTCGCTCGTGGAATTAATCGGTGGGAAAATATTTCGTGGAACTGCGCTTATATTTGAATAGAATATTTGCCTCGCAGGGTTTATTATCCTGTGAACAATGTATTGGCCACGTCTGAGGGCGTGGGAAGATCAAATCACTATAACAAAAACACGTACTTCGCCGTAACCCATCGATTCCTCGAACAACATATGACACTATTCGCGAGATTAGAAATCTCATAAGGAAAATCAAAGATCCTTCCTCTTTCTTAATTTTTGATTTGACAAAAGCTTCTCGCGGCGTGGAGGGGGCATAGAGGGGGGGGGGGAACACGGCCTTCTGAAAAATCGTCCTACATTCGAAATTTTCGGGATCGATCTCGACGAGAGCATAGTGTACTTGTTATATAATAAAGGAGACAGGCGGAAATTTCAGATATATCTGCGCGAGGAAAATAAATCTCTGGAAGGGAGAATTCGCAAAGGGTAGGAGGAAGTCGTTATCTGTAGGAGGCACAGGTTCGTTTCGATCTGACAGGTATTAAATACCCGGGTCTTTGGCCCGTTGCATACATTTTTCAGGTCAGCTTTTGATATAGATTCCGTGGCGAGGAACCGAAGTGCTCATCGATTTTTCCTATCGTGGCAACGTTCGAGCGCGGGTTTACGTCAATTTTCGCCCGTAAGATATCGCCGAAGATCGATACGCGGCCAAATTTCGTGCATTACTTCTGCTTAACACCTGCTTAACACGGTAACACTCTCGAGAGCCTCATTTCTCGCGATTCCATGTTGAATCGTTTGAACCTGCTTGAAGGTGGAAGGAAGTCCATTCGTTCGTTTCCGAGGGGGTACACGTTGAACGCGCTGCAATTGCAGTGTGGAGAAGAAGTGCAAGAGAAGAAGAAGAAGAAGAACAGGAGGAAGAACTGTACAGAGAGCTGATAGAGAAGAAAATTTTGCGAACGAAGATGCAAGACGAAAGATGTCGGGCTTACTTTTCTCGGTGGTGGTTGCATGCTGGACGAGCGGCCTGCTCTGCAGCCTCACCGCTGGCAGCCCGTTTTACACCGTCCGCCGGGGAGGGGTGCTCTGTTGTTTTCGTACGCCTCACCCGACACAATATTACACGCGCTACCACCCTCGCTGCTTGCGTGTTCGTATGCTACTGATCTCCTGTCCTCGACTGAGTTAGCCTATTTATTGATCGCACACGCGCCTGCGTCCTCTCGATCTACATCTTCGGCATCTCTCTCGTTCCCTTTTTTCTCTCCTCTCCCCTCCCCCCTCTACCTCTAACCCGACTTTTCCCGATGTCCGCGATCTACTCGGAATCTACTTGGAATTGTCACTTTCTTCCCAGCTGAATTTCCGCATGCTTTATCGACCGACATCAACTGAAATTCCTCTCTTTCCGACCGTATCCGGTTTTATCATTTTCGCTATTTTTTTATATCCGTGAACTAAAAGATCAAATCGGGAATTTCTTTTTCTTTTCTTTTGGTAATCTTTGTGATCTTGTTACTAAACGACTTACAACTTCAAAGCTTGGAACACGCGTTATAATGGAAATAATAACATGCGGAAACAAAAGAATCACAGTCTCGGAAACGATATTCAACTTTATTAATTGTATAAAACGGAAATACTTTTCGCAGATACATACCAAACGAATCGTTATTTCGTATTTGACATGTAGTTGAATGTTTTTTTGTGTTTAACTTTACATACAAAATTGAAAAAGTCTCACAGCGGACATTTTTAAAATTAGTTGCAACATCCACAAGATGCGATTATTACTTCACTATACACCATTTTGACATGGGTCAAAATCAGACTTGCTGAACCCACGTGAGAAACGTACTTCCACCTTCGTTGATGCGAAGCGCGGCCAGTAAAATTCCAGGAATTTTGTTCGCCTGGTGTTTTGATTATATCTTATAAAAATACGACGATGAAACGTACGATGAAATTTCACTCTCTTTTAGAAATCAATAATTCGTTAGCTTAAGTTTTCTTAATTAAACAGACATTGTGAGATAAGCGAGTCTGACCAAGTAGTTTAAAAATTGACACAAGAAGAAAGCAGTCCGTAAATACTTGGCAAACGAAATTCGTGTCTGTCCGTTCTAACTTCTACAATCGGCATTCATGGTAACTCGTCAGGTGGTATCGGTCCTAGATCGTGATCAGCCGGTAGACCTATGGCACCTTCGACGTCGGCGTCCGAGCCGACTGGTAGTACAACCTCTGGTTGAGGCACTGGTTCAGCTGCTTGTAAGAGAGCGATTGCTATCGGATTTCCACCAGCATCTAATACCGGATCGGCAGTAGCTTCCGCGAGATTTGTGACAGACTTTGACTTCACGCATTGAAAATCAACGTGTCGACTTTTCGCTTCTTCCTTCTCCCAAGACATGTGAATAAATGGTCTTTGCACGTAATTATAAATTACTTCGGCACGTCCTCCGGCTCTTTTCTTGATCTTCTCCTTATAGGTGGGGTATCCTTCGATACCTAGGCGAATCTTTTTTAAACCGCGTTCCTTCATTACCTGCTTAGCCACGTCTCTGTTTTCGATGTACTTGAAGAACCGATACATTGCGGTGCTATTGACGGCTATCAAAGAGCAAAAGATATCTTGTTAAAACATTGTGCTTTCCTTGATGACACATAAATCAACGAACTTTTTATCGAAGCAAATGAGTTTTTACATAAGTGTTCAAAATTATGTGATTATCGATGTTCTATTTTATGCGTCCAGTATACCGTAGCAAGGCCATATATTTTAATAACCTTGATATCGCAAAAAAAAAAAAGCGAAAGTAAGAAATAATATCTTTCGCACACTCACTTTGTGAATATTCTTCCCCCATTTGTGGCGGATATTCTTCATCCCAATCAACGATATCGTCTTCCAATAAAACAACGATGTGACATTCGCGATCGCCTCTACGCGCACTGTTTACCATTAGCGGCAATATTAAATCTTCTAGGAACACTTCGAACTGGCATCGCGCACCCTCGTTGGACAATTCATGTAACAGTCCTCCTATGAAACGAATGATCTTATTTTTAGAATTTTTGTTGTTTATAATATTATGAATAAGCATTGTGGTCTTCACATGGTGTTACCCCTTATTATTTGCAAAAGCAGTTAATTTTCTTACACGACGAAAAATGATTCTAATCAGAAAATTTGGAGCAATCTCGGAACGTTCTGCTACTAATTTTGCACTGAATTATGTAATTCAATCACAATTTTTACTTACTTAAATTTTGACACTTTACTGTATTAGCGTCGAACGGAACAAGAAGATAGTCGCAGGCTTCTCGTAATTCTTGAACGGCAACTGTCGGCGGGCATCGAATTACGCCACCTTTATAATAATCAAGAATAGCTCTAAACACCATGGCAGATATACCATCTGCAACTTCATATTCACCGCGTTCATTTGGTTGTGCATATTCAACACCGGAACTGAACATTCTACCTAGCATTGTGTTTGGATGTGCAGTGAACAATGCAGGATCAACAATAAATCTAAAACCAAAATTCATTTTTTAACTTGATGTAATTGCATATGTAGTTAAAAAGAAAACATTGTACAATACCTACCTGGTATTATCAACAATAAGAGTAATGCGTTCATCACTAGCTTGAGGATTATTTATACCAGTAACAGATCCTGACGATGGTAAATTGTCCCTATTTTGACATTGTTGATTTTTTCCAACACCAACTCCAGAGCAAAGTCTGAAGAAAAATACGTTCTAAGTGACTACTGAAGATCACTTAATATTAATACCTACATAAAACAAAGGAATTATGACTAATGAACATATAAAGCAATGCAGACTATTCAATAAATTCCTAAGTAATACCTACCTGTTGCGTATGTTGCATGGACTCTTGTATCAATAATATGAGAAATAAAAATACAATTGACGAAAGCATACGATAATTAAATACTTCATATTATAAAGTATTAACTTAAACTCATTAAATATTCTGGAAATGAGATACAACTATGTTTACATTCTTTCATTCATATTACCTGTTCTGTTGATTAACATTAGTGTTTTGTCTGCCAGAATTGAAGGTATGACAGTGCCTTTCACTGCTCCCATCCCTTTGTACCAAACAAGATTTTGGTTTGGAAGAGCCACCACAACTACATGCAAAACAACAACATTACCTTTCTAATGATTGCATTCGACAACAAGCATTGTGTACTGAATCTAATGTGAATACAATCGAATGATGAACAAGTGTATGTACATATGAATTTTACTGTAAAAGTAGTGATTGTAATATGGAGGTTTCTAACCATTCTTCTAACCTTTTTGTTGTTCCAACATTATTCTCTTTAATATTAACGTAAGATAAGAGATAAATTAAACAAGATTACAAAAAGCTTATGTGATACGATTCTAATAAGAAATATAAATTAAATTTCGCAAAATGAGTAATAATGTTTAGCAGTGAAAGATGAAATGAATTATGTCACTTTTGATACACTGTCTATTGATTGATTTAGTATCAAACTATAAGAAAGTATGAACTCGTAAGTTTTAATAAAAAGAGTAACTGACATGCATGACATTCTGCATAACATCTCTTAATACATGCTACATTTTAAACATGTAATTGTTAAAATAGAAGTTTTAAGGGCATAGTAGATTATAGGTAAAATTGTTGTAATATTCGTCGTCTAAAATCTGTTTTAACAAAACTAATAAATTAAGCTAATAATAGAAAATATCTAAAATATCTAATATATCTATGATTTTTATTCTATTTTGTAATAAATATTGTATTTATTATGCTTATAACATTATACTTATATCTTTCACATAATACCTCATTCTATTCTTGTAAATACGATGCCGACCCCTGCCACCTGTCTCTTTGTCTGTTTCAGTATCACTGCTACTATCTTGAACATAGTTCAAACGCTCAACAGGATTTGACATCTTGGACCAGCTGTAAAAATACAGTATGTTACTTCATACTTATTTCTGAACAATTCCTTTGGTTTTAAAAGATACTGCACTTTGTTTATTCAATAAAATATACTTTATCTTTAAGCAACATTAATAATCAGATTTTTTTCCTTCTTTTCTGTATAATGTTATGAACTGTAGTAAGTATAAAAAAACTTGAATAATACAGACAATGAAATTCAAATTGAATGTACAAAGATTCCGAGTACTTAAAAAACTAGCGTTAACGTGTTTTGTTTATTAATTTTGCAAATATAAATAACGTGTAATTATAATAATATCCGAGTAATTACAATTGCATAGTATGTTTTGTATATATAGTATTTATTGACGCTGGACGCAATGATGTTGCATGAAATTTCAAATATATTTATTGCAATAACAATCAGAGGCACGCTATTGTTGCAAAATTGCACATTTTAAGTACTTCTGCGTATTTTTTTCGCACAGTACTTGCGAGGCATACACTTTGGATACTTACAAGTTAGATACTGACAAATACCATCCAAGTTTCCTTAAGAGCCAGCTGGCTGGGGTACAAATTTCTAAGCCGCAAGATTGAAAGTTAACCTGACCTCTCCTTTTGACGGAGAGTTGCATTCCAAACCGATGAAACAGATAATATGAAACACCACACGGTCATTGATGACAATTCATCCCAACAGGCGTTGCCCTGAACGTTACGTGCATCAATGTTAGAACTTACGACGCGTTAATGAAAATGAAACACGAATCAGAATCTACTTGAGAATTGCAACTCGTTCTGTCATACGAAATAACGACAAAATTATTTAATTTATTTATTGTATTCCGTACACATTATAATGTAACCAATGCAACAAACATTTTGAAATAATACGAATTCGCGCCAGAAGAAAATGCAGGTGTCTCTTTGATAGTTCGAGTAAAGATTCGTATCTAGTTCTTATGAATTTAATGATGTTTACGAATTCTTTAAATAGTTTTTGATATCTGAAGAAGATATAAGAAGGCGCAAATTTCGATTAAAATATTATTAATAAATTATGTTCGTGCGCATGTTTATAGTGATTACGATGTAGCGCAATTATTATTGTGGCTCAAGTGATGTTTGTTTTTGTACAAAAATGTTTGTAAAATTTATTAGTGCAGTTGTTTGCATCACTTGTTTTTCATATACATTTTATATTTTGTGTAATTTGACATACTTTTTGTCGAGTCATAATGTAAACAAAGAAGTGATTACCGTACCAGAAAAAGGTAAATAATGATAATAACAATAGTAATAATAAAATTATTAAAATTGAAATGTATAACAAGGTGTATTACAGATGAAGATACTGATTCAGTAATATGGATGCTAATAATAAACATGTCTCTATTGAGTATTTTTATGTTACAACACTCTCTCATGGCTAGTAATTTCGTAAAACATTTATTTTGCAAGTTACGTGTAGACTATATAGAAAGAAGTATTTATAACGTTACCAGTGCCATGACGCTTCATTTATTGTTTACCAATTGGCAAACTATTTCATCTGTTGCATTATGGAAAATTAATACCTGTCATAATAATGTTTTATGGTTCACATTCACTGCGTTTCATGTGTTGGCTTGGTCGATAATTTATAGCGGATGTTTGATGATGGATATATCTGAATTAGCTGGAATAAAACAAGTATATTATAAATTCTCACTTAGACCAAGTCCTATGCTAATGAAATCAAAAGAACTGTTACGTTACTACTCGCATATGAGACATCCAAGTTTTACAGGATTTCTTATTATTTTATGGATATATCCTTATATGACGTAAGGGATATTTCAAATATTGTTATAATACTTAAACTATGTGAAACAAATGAATAACTCGATTTTAATATCTTATAGATTAGACAGATTATTATTGGCTTTGATACTCACAGTTTATATGACCTTAATGTGGACTATTGACAAAGAAGATTACAATTATCATGAGAATCTTGTGAAGAGAAAGCAAAGAGAATTATTCTGACTTTCATTTATACATATCAGTTTACTTTATTAGCATTACAATTAAGTTATGTACTTAAGTGTACTAACATTTGCTTAAAAGTTTTGTATTGTGAAATATGTATGTAACATAAATATATTCTTCTTAATTACTATATGTAACTTATTAATTAGTATATCATAACATAGGTGCTATAGAATAGGAACTTTAATTTACAATTTCAATCAAAAGGGCTGTTCCTTGTAAAATCCAGTACGATTGTTCTTTTTTAGATGGAAGTAGAACAGCAACAACGAAATTAGTACTATGTCCAGTTGTAGATAATACACCAGCTCGAACTGCTGTTTTGTACAAAGGGCAAACATATCTTTCTAAATCATCTTTTGGTAATTCTAATACCGGATTTATATGTAAAACTGGAAGAGATGGGTGCATTTCTCCTAAAATCGATAATTTATTTACTTTAAGGAATATTGTTTATTTAAGTATTTCATAAAATTAACACTTTACCTATATTTGCATCTACTAAACACATGGATCCGAAATCCCATCTGCCAGCATCAATAAATAACCCATGTATTAAAACTCCATCTTTTGGCACTTGTAAGTTTTTATATACCTCTATTACCTAAGATATTACATTAATTGTATAAAGGAGATATTTTTTTGTTATGTGAGTTTTAGGTATTGTAAAATATTTGTAATGATTGAACCTCTTTTTCAGCCTTTTTATGCTCTATTTCAATGTCTTCTTGATCAAGTACAACTTTGGTGGCAATGAAATCAAACTTTAGATGATCTATAGGAATGTTGTATTTTCTTGCACATGTTTGTAATATGCCAGTTAAAAATCCTTGTGGAAAGGATAAGCCCGAAATCCAAAAAGAAATAGGTTTTTTGTCAATTAACCAAATCTGTAAATGCATAATATTTACTAAACTAGTTTTTTCTTTTTTTTTACGTTTTTCATTTTTTTTTACTTGAATGAAGTCAATCCTCAGTTCTAAGTTCCTTATCCAACTTCCTAAGGTCTTTAATGATGGATAAACATTTACAGTATGCCACATTTCTGGTACCTAATTTATGTCAGTATACTATTAAGAGAAATTTAGAAAATAGCTTAAAAATATTAATATTAATTAGAAATATTTTTTGATAAAAAAAACTTATAATTTATTTATTTATTTATTTTTTTTAAATTGATAACAAAACCTGGCTATTGACAAATGCCATAAAAATGTTTTCTAATTCCTCAGACATAACAACAAAACCTTTGATGGCGCGCTGTAAATTTTCTATTGATGTATGTATCTTCTTTAGAAGTATGTTATATCTGTCAACTTCGTGAACGAGGACAGTACTTAAAGATGGAAGTCTTCCTATTGAATCTCTCTATAATAAAGTTTTATAACAATATTTGCTTTATAATCAACAGTAGTATAAACTGAGTAAATTGTTAATTACTTTCAAGTGCTCTGGGTTACATTTTGCAATATCAATCTTAAATTGAATTCTACCCTTTATCATATCAGCAATTTCATATGCTATATCTGAACTGGATTTATCTTGATCAGTGACAGATTCTTGTGGTTGTATTTCCAAAATAGTATTTAATACGAATTGTGCTTCTTTTAACTGATATAATTTTACAAATATTCCAAGTTAGTGCGGGGATATAGCCTTTCTCGATTCCGTTTCGCTAACTCTGATTACCTGATAAACAATATTTGCATTTTCATGCATTCCAAAAATTTCTGGATCATCAATTATAGAAAAAGTCTCCATAAAATCTTGATACTCTTGTAGAGTATTGTAAATAGGACAGTAGTATTTTCCAGATGGCGAATAAACATAGTCTGTAATTATGTAATTAATTAAATTACTTATACTGTATAATTTGTTTTAAAAATTATTTACCAATGTTCAAAGATTTAGGAGAGAAGAAAATAGTTAAGATTGTTTTCATACACCTCAAGTCCCAGTTATCTGTAACTCTACCTCCGTAAGTAATTTCACCTGAAACGAATACAACGAAAGTGCCTAATATGAAAGTGTTTAATTCTTTCTAAGAAAAAAGATTTAAACGACTTAAATGAAAATTTATAAACCTGTGGTATATATTAACGCGTTCCAAGGTATATGATCATGCATACAAAATAATTTCAAATTTAGCAAACAGCATTCCCTGTCGCTGTCGTTAAATTCATATAGAATATTCCATCCTAAAGGTCCGAACTTCTTTCGTTCCTGAATAATCGCATGGAAAAAGCAAATTCCGAATATAAGTCGGCGCCAACTTTCGCCCAAGTCTTGAAAGGAAAAATTTCAAACTTATTATAGATTTAAGTAACTTGCGTCTCGGTCATTAACACTGATGATTCTTTCTTACGGTGATGTTCAAAATATTCCTCGTCCAAATCGTGCAATGCCCTCTTGATGTTGGCTTTTAGCCCTTTCGGTGGTTCGTTTGTGACTTTTACAGAATTTTGAAGAACGGAAACTGGAAAAGCGGCGCTAGGCATCGAGCTCAGAAATAATCGGAAATCACTGTGAATGATTCCCTCTGGTTCCTCGGCAATTTCTGTTACAAGCTGCTCCAGGATGATCATCCACGACACAGCCAGATGACAATTCTGCAAGAACACCCATCTACCTTCGATAGTACCTGTGCGTAAATGCCCTTCTGCAATGGGACCTTGGCCTTGGCCTAAAGAAATGGAGTCGTATCTATTGGAAAAACCCATATCGTGTGCAAATTTCTGAAAAGCACTGAAAGGATCCGATCCAGTTGTAAGTATGAATATCAATGGTATTTTATTTGATGTATCTGCATACCTAAAAATATCCAATAGAAAATTTAATCCTAGTCTAATTTCAAAGTATGTCTTGCAATATACAAAGTGGAAGGAAAAGTTTGTCCATGAATTCTACACCTCCAATTTGATGGAAAGAACCTGCCGCAAAATTGTGGCTTTGACTCACATCACGAAGGTAAAACTTTTCCAAGGAACCATTGGTCGCACCCTATACTTCTTTTGAAAAATGGCAAAACAGTTTCTTAATCATTTAACACTGCGGACGCGTGCATGATGTTCCTTGGAAAAATTTTTGTGACGAGTAGTAGAATACAATGTAAAAAAAAAGAAAATTTTGTCCTTGAAATTCAAGATCAAGGTCAATTTTGCGAAAGGCATTTCCATCAAATTGAAAGTGTAGAATTCATCTATTCATCTATAAGCCGCGGACAAACTTTTCTCTCCACCCAGTACAATCTCACGTACAAAAGTTGCAACGTCGCCATAGGTGATTCTACGAATTTTGGCCCTAAGTTGTTCGATACGTAGGCTGTGATTGCAAAAATTAATTTCTCCTCTTTCAGTGCTTTCAGCAACATTAATTTTTCAATGTCAGTTAACATCTTATCCCAATCTTGGCTAGCGACGTCTGTATTGGTAGGAATTATATTAATTTCCTTAAAAAAAAAAAAAAAGGAATCGTAAAGCTGTATTAAGATTTAATTGAAACGAAGATAAAAGCGTGTAAAAAAAATCTAAAAACGTATATTTACTTCTGTAAAATATCCAAGAGTTAACGGGATCCTTTTGAACGCATCGTCTAAGACATTCTCAAATTTTTTGAACGTGTTAGCCAAATAATTGATCGAGGTCCACATTTTAGGGGTCAGAGTTGGATAATTTGGTACATCCTCCTATTTGCAAATATCCGCAAGATCGAATTGGAAAGTATCAGTGATGATTAATTCAAGAAACACGTGACCTACCACGACAATTCGCGCAGGACCTCGCAGCATAAAATTCCACTGTGCCTGCGACACGATGTCTCCGTGTATATGTATCGCGATATTGAGCATGGCGCTAAATACCAACTTGTGTTTTTCAAACAGACCTCGTGAAACGTTTGTGTAGATGGCCAATGTTATCTCGCTTAATAACGTTTGCAAACGTTGTTGCAAGTTCTCTTCTTTCTCGGTGGTTTCAATTACCGTGTCAAATATCTAATAAAATACCAGTGAATGTCACGTCGTTAAATTGTATGTTTGCAAGCATAATTCGCCGCATAATTATTCACCTGGCTGAAGTACTTTAATGAAAATTGGTACATGGGATCTATGTGAGCAAGGTCCGCAACCACGAAATACAAAACTGATCCACGATCCGCAACAGATTGATATTTCTCGCGTGCAATTGATATCTTGCGTTCGGTTGCCTCGCTTTCGATTAATCTCGTCGCAATGATCGCAGAAGTCTCTTTGCTGTCGTTCAACGTTTCTATCAGTTCCTCGTTGTCTAGAATATCGTCGCCCGCGCCGTACAACAATGTCAGTATCCTCTCTTCGATACTTTGCAATTGGCCCTTGTCCATGTTGATTTTTATTATTAAATCGTTCCTCATTGTTTCCAAGTCTGGCCTCTCGAGACGCACGACATCTCTATGTAAAAGAGAGAATTTTGAAATTGAATACACACACTGTGACAATGTACATCTCAATGTACATACGCGAGCAATTGTTCCTCGAGGCCTCCCATGGTCACGGTGAAGTTAACTATCGTCACTTTAATACAGATTTCTGGCAAATAATGTGGATTCGAGATCTTCGTCGTGATGTATAATTTAAAATTACCATCGTACTCAACGTCTGTGTCGGCAAATCGTATTAATGTTCTGCCACCCTAAATACACCGTAACGAATGGTCACTCGTTGCCTCGTGTCGCTTCTACAAACTTCTACGAAGTATTATACTTGCCAGGACAAAAATTTGTTTGAGCAAGATAGGCTCCAAACTTGGATCCAACACTTCTCCCACCTCTTGAATTAGCACAGGTGTCCCAAGTCTTATGGCCGCCTCCAATATCCTCATTAAATTTGCATCCGTCAGTTTGCACACTTTTAGATTGTTGTCTTGTTCCATGTTACGTATCCATCTGTTCGCCTGAATGGAAGCAGAATATTAAGCTGGTAAAAACTCGACTCTAATTTTACATATTAAACAAGAATGATTACTTGCTCCTGAGGATCGATCATCAAAGGCCAACGGCTGGCTTGTGTCACAAAGATTGCATTCTCCGTGCTGACTTTATCTCGCGGCAAGCCGTGCGTATTCCAAAGACGAATTGTATAAGGATCGACCAATATCGTGACGAGACTATAGTTCTCTGTAGTTTTGATGCCGTGGCCTTTGCAGCTAGACAACCAAGTTTGTATTAATTCTTCTCTGTACTCATTTGTGAAAGCACCCAGATAAGCAAGGGCTCCGGCGGCTATCAACGTGTCACCAGTCAAGTTGACAATTTGCTTGTCAAAGCCCTGAAAGAGAAATTGATAATAATTCGTTTCTTGAATTTAACTGTTTTTTTTTTTTTTTTTTTAATCGTACGCGCATTGATTCTTCCCATCGAACTCGCTCGTCCACCAACGCGGACGTCAATCGTCCAGATCTGTTCAATCTCGTTTCTGCCAATTGCATCTCGGCTTCTAATTTGTTCAGGTTCTTCACCGCTGCGTCGTATTCTTGTTGCAGTTCCTTGATTTTATTTTCCACCGCGACGAGTTCTTGCTGCTTCAGAGCAAGGACTTTCTCTATCGCTCGTAACTCTTTCTCAGCCTTGTACAATCTGTTTATCAATGGATCGTCGATCAAATTCCCTGTGTTTTCATTCACAACGTTTCAAGGGAAATTCTCTGTTTTCAATTTTACTTTTGTCGCTTTGGCTCGACCACTCGATAGATTTTAGCGTATTCGTCCATTGCTTTTACCCAGATGCACATCGATTTACAAGCTTTACTTTGCTTGGCTACTAAATCTGGCCGAAACTCTGGATGTTGGACGTATTCCTGCAGCTTTTCTAAAAGTTTGTCGCTTATGTCGTCTTTGGGATAAGTGATCAAACGATTAAGGAAATGTATGTCGCCCAAGACTAGCTTGGCAGTCGCCCAGTCTGTCCTGAAACGGTAAAAAAAAAACGGTAACGTAATGACAGTGGTGTTCCACACTTTGAGAAGAATCCCGTGTGAAAAACACACTTTTCGCCCAGCAGCAAATTCACCGCTTCCATGACGAAACGCACTAAATGAGGTGGTTTGTGAAACACACGAATCTCGTTGATGTCGGCTTTATTTAAAGCTTCCAATGCTTTCTGAGCTTCCAATAAAGCTGGTATCACTGCCTCCAAGTCTTGTCTGGCGTCAGCTTCTAAAGTCGCCATTTCCTCAGCTTTCGCCTGGATGAAGATGAAAATTATGCACTTGACGAACAAGATCATTTAATAAATCATTTGATCATCTTTTTAGTTCTTAAAGTCCATTCGTACTTACTTTTGCTGTCGCTTCCTCGGCTGTTACAATATACTTCACTTTGTCACACTCGACTTGTTGCTTGGCAAGAATTTTCACTAGCTTCAATACCTCGTCGGTGCTTGCTTTGAGTTTAGGCGCGAGAATTGTCAACTGTTCCTTCATCACGCCGACCATCTCGTTAGTTTCACGTAGTTTCTGTCCAAGCAAATGTTGTCGATGAAGTTGTACATAATATAATTCTTCTCAAAGTAAATACACTACAAGTGAGATGATGATATTTACGTTAAGCCCGTTGGCAATTTTACTTTTCAACAACTCTATCTCTTTCTTCTTTTTCCCTAGAGTTGTTTGAAACAGCTTTAAAAGCTCCAAATAACTGCTCGGTGTGGTGTAATATCTTCGTCGCATCTCTATGAAGAATCGGGTTGTCACCTCTTCAACGCTCTGTAATTTTCACATGATCTCCTCTTAAATTCGAGTACACGCTCGTTTCGTGACGAATGAGAGTTCTGTTATAAATGGCAAAAACGGTACCGCATGGATCAACACGCAAATATTACTAAGGCTGGCAAGCTGCGTCGAATCCTTCGGAGCAATTTCAATCAATGAACTTTCCGCCACTGATAAAAGGGCATCGTTTGGCCACTTTGTGAACCAATCAATGGTGCAACAGTTTACCAACGAAGGAAACATACGGCAACGATGTCTACGAAAACAATAAAAAATGATAAAGAAAGCACAACAATTAATTGATCTAAAGTCCAAAGAGACTGACCTAAATGTGTCACCTATAGGGCTCATGCAAATCATCAAGTGAAGATGGTCTCTGACCCTTCCGATGAAATATTGGTAAATTCCGTCTCTATTTTCTTCGTGAATCCCTGCTAGTTTCGCAGCGGGCCTAGTAGCTATGATAACTTTCTCAAGTTCATCCGCTTCGTACAAATTTGGTACCTCCCCTGAAAAGAAATGACAACCTGTCAATGCCAGTGTTCGAGGGAATTTTATTTGATACGTATCAAAGTGTTACCTGTGTTAAGTGTGTTGTTGACGTCTTCTAGAAATTCCTCCAGCACTATCTGAGTGTCAGTGAACAAAAACGTCGTGTGCTTTGCCTCGGTACCTGGTTCGAAGTAAAATCGTCGAAGGTCTTCGTGCCACGAGTTTTTATCGTACGTGCGAGTAACTTCTATCTGATAACATCTTGACAGTTTCAATAGACTCGTTAGTAGTTGCATTGTCTCGGACAGTGGCGACTCGCGTATAGGCACTGTGGAACTGCAGTACCCCCTATTTCCACTTGATATTATCGATAACATTTAATATAATGAGTCCTTTTT